TGTGTGTGTGTGTGTGTGTGTGTGTGTGTGTGGTGTGTGTGTGCTTGCAAATGTTAAACTCTCTGCCTTGCCAAGATAACGCTCTTTCAGCGCCGTTCTTAATGAATTGTATTATCACGAAGAAACTGTACAGATGTAAAAATGCGCTCCAAATATAATGATCCCAAGACAAACATATTTTCATTATGTTATCACGTTTTGATCCATGCTCATAGGGCGAGACGCCACGTCGTTGCAGCATTGAGAAGCAGTCGACAGACAAGTAGAAGCAAAAATAATTATAAAATAAACCCAAGGGGAAAACGGCTACGGGCCTTAGAAAATATTATCCCATTCAGGCAGGGCAAATTTCAGCATTCAATGGCCATAAATCTAATCTTTGAAAAGTTAACTTAAGTAAGATAAGAAAAGAAATAGTGTTAACGTGACAATTCAGATTCCGACAAAACTGGTGATCATTTGAGGGAACAATCGGCTCATGGTAGTCCCTATTATTCTTTCATCAACACAATATTCAGTTGTGCTAAATGATTTCAATACATATTTCCAGTACACAAGAACCCCCGCCCCCTTTTTCCCCCCTCTAAAGCACAGTGAGAGGAAAATATAATACGTACATGAGCAGAAACAAAGCAAGGAAGTTTGAATACATCTGTACATGTCGATCGCTATCCCTGAAGAATCTTATACAACAATCTAGATAGTTCTGTGCTGCCTAACGCCAAGCATCGTTAGAGTGCATGATTGCGTGATTCCGTGAGGTACGGTGTGTTGATGGGTTCTGAAAGCAATCGAAAGCTCTATAACTGAATAATTATGTGACTTCCGCCTCCAGTCTCCACAAAGCTGGAGAACCAGCTTCCCTGATCCGCGACAAAGATGGGAAATGTGCGCAATGTGTGTTAAATAAAAGACTTGGTGTAATTATGTGACAGTGTTAAACAACCTGCCCATCCGGGGTTTGTTTTAAATTTATCATTACGGTTGACTTAATTTAAAAGTCTGATTAACTTTCCCCTTAGGGTTTCGACGAACTTTTGGCGCGCAGCAATCCTCGATTTGCGTGGGGCTCCTTAGGTAGGAACATCAGGCACCTCAGTGAGCTCCTCAATAAATTATTATAGTCTTTCCCATCAAGGCATGCAGAATAATGAGCCTCTTCCGCATTATCGGTTATTGTTATATGCATCAACATCCACACATCGACGTAAGAAAAGCGGGGGTGTAATAATGATAATAATGTTAATAATACTAATAACAATAACAATAAAAATAACAATATTAACGATAATAACAACAATGAGGATGATGATAATAACGATAATTATAGTATTATTTGTACTGCGCAAACTCCCGGTCAACAGCAAGCTCTGTGCGTTTTACAATCTATATTATTACCCTAGCAGACTTGATAGCAATTTGAAACAATCTTCCTGAGAGGTATGCAGTGTAAACTACCATTTTACGGGCGCTAAAACATTCACACTATAAATGATGTTTTATTTCTGGCGTTTCATAACATATAAGAACAAGTCAAATACTTTTTAAAAACATTTGTTTCCTGTTTCCCAATTTCCACTACCTGCTCGTCCACATATGGTCCTTGTATTGTATCCACAGAAGTAGTTTGTTTAGGGTTCAAGTACACAATATCAGATAAGCTTCTGCCTCGAATCGCATCTAATATAATATTATGTTTCAAGAAAAAGGTGATCTTGCGCGGAGCAGGACTTGGAGAAGTTCCAATATGAAAGAAACTAACTTGACGGTGATTCTTTCAACATTACGAAAACTTGTAGGATTTGTTTAATTTGGTCCTGATCAACCGAAATATAAATCATAACACATTCCTAGATTCCTAGCATGTCTTATCAAATTATAAATACTTGTTTATTTATGTATTTTTCAATCCACGCAAAGTGCCACCACGGGCAAAGAAATACCCAGACCCGAAATGGCAAATAAATGGTAAAATACAAACAGTGACTAAATCTGTTCGGAATTTAAAATGCTATATTTGTTGCCTTGATCAGCTTTGGGAAACCTCACGCCCCCC